CACACTCAGTCAGCCATGATAGTATTGAATGGCGGGCAGATTCAATAGGCTGAATGGCCTATTGTTGTTCCCATGTTCTACAGTAACTCACTGAGTGTTACTGGGGTATAATGGTCTTTCACATACATAGTGCTCACTATATTGACACCACATCCACAAACATCCACTCCCTACACCACCGACACTCCGTAGCAGCAGTGTGTCCTATCTGCAGAAATTCACCAAAGATCCTCAGACAGCACCTTCCAAACCATGACCACTTCCACCTAGAAGGACAAGGGCAGCAGATACATGGGAACACCACCATCGTCAAGTTCCCCTCCAAGCCGCTCCCCATCCTGACTTGGAAATATATCGCTGTTCCTTCATTGTCACTGGGTCAACATCGTGGAATTCCCTCCATAGGGGCATTGTGGGTCAACGTACAGCACATGGACTGCAGCGGTTCAAGAAAGCAGTTCACCCCCACCTTCTCAAGGGGCAACTAGTGATGAGCAATAAATGCTGGGCCCAGCCAGCGACACCCACATCCCATGATGTAATATAAAATAAATACACTACATAATAATAGTGTGTTAATCATTTTAGTGCGACTGTGTACATTCCACAAGAGTATTGCAGATTACTGGGTATCATATTCCCATACATATTATATCATAGCATACTGTGCGTTCCTCGGTCTAAGGGCTCTCTGGGTTAAATGGCCGTTGTCAATGTTTTGCAAGTTTTCCCACCTTGGGATTTAGATGATAATGTGAAGCAGAGCCACACAATTTCTCAGATGAAGCAGGATATTTGGGCTCTGTCTGATGTATCTCCTAATATTTATATCATTGAATTTGTGAATAATGCAACTGACAGTGATGATATGATCTGATCTATGGCTTTAATTTAAGAACCACTGTGAGATGTGTGGCTTCACAATGAGGCAGCAGCTTTTAAATGTATTTATTTTTTATTGAAGAAGCCAGATAAAGACTTTGCAGCCCAGGACATGAGTAAGATTGATGACGGGAGATGATGCTGCAAGGCAATGCCAAAGATTGTGATTGGGTTGACAGCGGGGAGTGGGTTCAGCAACTCTCCATGTTATCTCAGGACAGAGAGATGTGGGCATCAAGAGATTTCAGGAATGGCCACATTTGAGTGAGAGAGCTGCTGGCTAATGTGGCTAGCTAGCTGGTGCTTCCTCCCTCCAGTGCCGCTGATACGCTCGGCTCACAGATTCTAATTGCCGAAAGTCCAGGACAGAGGCAAATCCAGGCCTCCCGTGGTTCGAATAGAAAGAATACGGGGAGGGTTGTCGTATTGGAAAGACCCGGGTGGGATGGGATGCCTGTGAGGTGTGAGGGGTTCAAACCTTGAACTAGGAGGGGGCAGCGATGGTGGCAATGACTGTAAAAGGGAGCGTGAAATGGTGACAGCAGCCTGTTTCTCACCCAAGGCCTGAGCAAGCGCACCTCCCTGTCACCAGCCTAGCCAGTGCAACATGTGGACTTAATGTTTATCATTGACATCCAACTCTTGCCAACAGCCCATTGATCACAGAAAAAGGAACAGGAGTCGGCTGTTCAGCCCCTCGAGCCTGCTCTACCATTCAATAGGATCGTGGCTGATCCGATATTCCTCACATCCACTTTCCTGCCCTTTCCCTATAACCCTTGATTGCCCGACTGTTCAAGAGTCTATTCCAGCCTTAAATATAACAAAGACTCTGTCCCCACAGCTCTCTGTCACAAGGAGTTCCAAATACCCACAACCCTCTGAGAGAGGAAATTCGTCTCCATCTCAGTCTTAAATGAATGCCCCTTTATTCTAAGACAATGCAGTCTGATCCTAGACTCTCCCATGAGAGGAAACATCCTCTCAGCACTACCCTGTCAAGCCCCTTAAGAATCCTATATGTTTCAGTAAGATCACCGATCATTCTTCCCAATTCCAGCGAGTACAGTGCCAACCTGATTTCTCTCCACAGATGCTGCCAGACCTGCTGTGCTTTTCCAGCAATTTCTGTTTTTGTTTCTGATATCCACCATTCATTCTTTGGTTTTGTTTTTGTTCAGTAGAAGAAAGGAAGGTTTAGCATGGTATCTCAGTTTGCTTTTGCTGAAAAATTGGTCCAAATTCATCATCCTGTCTGCAACACTGCATCAAAGACTAAGTGTGGATAAATTATATTTGGTTTGTTCAAATGAAAAGAGTTGGTGGGAGATGGGCTGCACGGGAATTGTTCGCTGTGCAGCCTGAGTTACAGCCCAGTTGGATGTTGTTATGGGCAACAATTGATGAGTTCCAATAATTCTTTTTGGATCACTGCACCCAGTAACAGCAACACAGGGAAAATCTCAGTGAGATCAGGTTACGTTACCCTAACCCTAACTCTAACCCTAAACCTAACCCGAATCCCAATCCTAACCCTAGCCCTAATCCTAACCCTAACCCAATCCTAATCCTAATCTTAACCCTAATCCTAACCCTCACCCTACCCTAACCCAAATCCTAACCCTAATTCTAACCCTAACCCGAATCCCAATCCTAACCCTAACCCTAACCCTAACCATCACCCTACCGTAACCCTAATCCTAACCCTAATTCTAACCCCAATTCTAACCCTAATCCTAACTCTAATCCTAATCCTCCCCCTACCCTAACCATAATCCTAACCCTAACCCTAATCTTAGCCCTAACCCTAACCCTAATTTTAATCCTAACCCTAACCCTAACCCCAACCCTAACCTGAATCCTAATCTTAACCCTAACCCCAACCCTAATCCTAATCCTAACCCAATCCTAACCCTAACCCTAATTTTAACCCTCACCCTACCCTAACCCTAACCCTAACCCTAATCCTCACACTAACCCTGATCCTAACCCTAACCCCGACCCTAATGTTAACCCTAATCCTAAACCTAACCCTAACCCTAATGTTAATCCTCACCCTACTCCTAACCCTAAACCTAATCCTAACCCTGACCCTAACCTTAATCCTAACCCTAATACTAATCCTCACCCTACCCTAACCCTAAATTTAACCCTAACCCGAACTCTAAACCTAACCCAAACCCTAACCCAATGACAGAGAGTGGACAAACTAGAGGGTTCAGATTTAAGGTGTCCAGGAGAAACCACGTTTATGTAGTGATTTGTTATGATCTGGAATGCACACTGGGAGCAGATTCATGAGGAACTTTCAAGAGGGGGAAATTAGATGAATATTTGAAGCGCCAAATATTGTAGGGTTACGGGGAATTATATAGGGACAGATTGTTTTTGAAGAAGCTTGCATGGTGGGCTGAGTGGTTTCTTTTCTGTACTGTGTGACACTGGGAGTCGATGACAGTGAGGTTCCCTCTCTTTGAAGTTGCTAACATACTGTGGAGGATTTGCATTAGTCATAGGCTCCCATTCAATAGGCTGGAGCTTGCATTATGTGGCTCCTGTGGTGACATATCAGCTGACTTATTTATTAGCTGCAGGAATGCTGAAGGACTATTTTTTCTAAAATTATACATTCGGAAACCTACCCGAGTTTCCATTAGGGGAGCAATTACCAGTCAATTAATCATTGCCCAGCCACATTGATTGCAACCAGTAACCAGTAGCAGGAGAACTTTCTCTTCTTAGTCTGGAAGAGTGTAGAAGCGAATTTAGTCACTCATTAGGTAGTGTCTGCCTCACCTCTGGCCTCGACATTCCCTCACTCCCTGTCCATCACAAACAGTCTGCTGTCCAATTTTTCATCTCTGTCATAACATTCTTGGCTTTTCTGATTGATCCGCACCAGCTAATGGGCCTTTAGGAATCTCAGGCCTATCAGCACACTGGACAGAAATTTATCCCACTTGATCTCTGCGTGTCTGCTCCAGGAGAGCAGTCATCAACCTTTAAAAACAGAAGAATCCTTTTCAGTCTGTTCACTTGCTGCTTGGGTTCCTGCTTGGAGAGCAGCCCTTTGGCAGATTTCATTTGCACTAACTCACAGACATTAATTTTCTGTAATGTGACTTTGATAATTAAGTTTAACAGCTTTTAAAATAAACACAAGATAATGTGAATATGTGAATATGTGAATATGTAGAGGATTAAATTCACCTTGGCGTGACTTATTCGAGCTGTTGACCCCATGCTTATACAAAGGGAGGCTTAACTAGGCCTGTTTACAATCATGAGGGGGTTTTTCATAGAGCAGGTAGGGAGAAAGTGTTTTCCCTGACAAGTGGGTCATTAACAAGAGATTTAAAATAATTGGCAAAAGCAGTTGTGAGCAAATGAGGAGACAATTTTTCCATGTTGTTAAAATCTGGATTGAATCATTGAGGAAAGCAGATCCGATGGGAACATTCAAAAAACAATTGAAAATGGACTTGAAGAGGAATCATTTACAGAGATGTGGGGATAAAGCTGTGGAGTAGGTCTAAATTGGAGAATTCTTCCATCGAGCCAACTCTTGAATAATGGGCTGAATGGCCAGCTTCAGTGCTGTCAGGTTCAGTGATTGTAAGAATATGGGATTGAGGATATAAGATGGCAAATATTCCTTCAAAAGTACAGAACTTGCATATTGAAAAAAAATACTCATTTTGACAAAGTTTTTCATCTTACACTGGACAGGAATTTGCAAGAATAGGATAAAATGGGTGCCAAACATTCTCTGGTTCATTTCTCAGGGCAATGCCTTGACTAATCGGCATCAAATTGTCTAGTTTAAAATTTAAACAAAGCTTGGCAGTTAACTGTCAGTCATCAGCCAACTCCTTGGCAGTGTTATGACCAATCAGAGTCCACTTAGCAACCAATTACCAATATACAGTCTAAGGTGTTCTTACCCTGTTACATTACTATCCTTGTAAATGCTGTGCTGAGTACAACAAGAAAACACTTTGACAAAATGAGTCTTTACTTTTTCAACTTCTAAAGTTATTTGACTGATCGCCAACAATTATCCAATAAGAAAACAGAGTCCATTTGCATTTTGATTGGCCAAAGGAAGGCAGGGCGCCATGGTGATAGAAACATCAGGTATGCAAGAGCAAAAATATGGCAGTGGGTCAATTGGAAGCAAGAGTTCATGTGTTGAAATCTTCAGGATTACATTCAATAAAACACTATTGCAGTGTTATTGCAGGCTGGCAAGATCTGCTTTAAATTATCCAAAGAGTGTTTAAAGCCAATGTGCAAACAACTTCAGAGTATTTCTCTTTTCCATTGCTCTTAGGGATTATTGAGGCAGGAAGAAACCAGGACCTCGGTTCAATCAGCGTCCAAAGAGAGCAAGATCATATTCAGAAAAGCATAAAATCACATCAAAATCACCCTTGAAAACTAGAGTCAATCTGAAGCCTAATAGTGCCCCACAAAATGTAGCGGAACACATTTATACAAAATTACACAGCTGCATACCTGTCATTCATGGACCCACCCTCACATAATTACACAGGTATACGTACAAATACAGACCCATACAGGCAAACGCACACATCAATCAAAATGGAGTCTTGCAGTAACTGCCATCCAAGTGTTGAATATATATATTGTAGAGAGAGATTTACTCTAACCCTGTGCTGTCCATGTCCTGGGAGTGTTTGATGGGGACAGTGTAGAGAGAGCTTTACTCTGTATCTAACCCCATGCTGTCCCTGCCCTGGGAGTGTTTGATGGGGACAGTGTAGAGAGAGCTTTACTCTGTATCTAACCCTGTGCTGTCCCTGTCCTGGGAGTGTTTGCAGGTCAATGTAGAGAGAGTTTTCACTGTATCTAACCCTATAGTGGGTCTGTTCTAGGAGTATTTGATTGAGACAATATGAGGGAAGTTTTGTACCTAATTCTGTGCTTTACCTGTTTGATGGGAACAGTGTAGAGGGTGATGTGGATTTTTGGACAGACACCATTGTGATAGGGTCCAAGTGCTGTCCTAAATCTTAGCTAACCTAAATTTACCTTGTTGAGACTGATATCTCAAAGTATATTAATGACACTAATGATTTATCTCGTTATAGTATACAGATTGAGATATGTTTTGTCTTCAGCGAATTAGGTTTTATTGTCATGTGTGCTCAAGTACAGGAGTAAAGTGAAAAGTTTACAATGTCACCTCTCATGGTGCCGTCTTAGCTACAAAGTATCGTAAGTACAAACCTTGGATACAAAAAGAGGAATAAGGAAAAAGTTGCATTTCCTTACAGTGATTCATCATATAAGTTAGAAATAAGACATAGTTAAAAGGATAAACATGACAATCAGGTAAACAGATCACAGATAAACATTACATTGCAGTAGCTCAGCTCAGGGGCTTCCACATGTGGTTAGACCAGCCTCGCAAGACGCTGATGTTACTGTGTATTTCATATTCACAACTGACTGACTGTACAGACCACAATGAGTCCATCGCACTGAGAGAGTGACAATAGGTAAGACAGGCATTTCATGTCAGAATGTCATGTTGTGATATTATCTAACTGTCTTAAAGGTGCACTGTATGCCTGGTCTGGACTTTATTCATGAACACAGCAGGAGGGAGTTGCACTCTGTATCTGATCTGTATTGTACCTGAACATGAGCCTGACTTTCAAACTTGGGAAAGTGTCCACTCCTTTTCATCATGAACATAAACCTGAACGGTGATATGGCTTATTGAGAATGACATTGTCTGAATCTCAATAGTAGATGAAGGCTGACATGTGTAGGGTGTTTTGATTATACAGTTACAACAATCCTGACTGTGGTTGATCAAGTTTAACTATTACTGCTGCAAACTGAGCTGGATGGATGACATCATGTCTATGAAGAATAGGTACCATTGTAGGAAATTTGGCTTCAATGTGATTTCTGATTAAACCAAGCAAAACTATAACTTTATATTCACTGGCATAGTAATTTCTGTGGTATAAATAAAACTAATCACCAAATGTCAGCCTGCAACGTATGCCACAACACATTTGATATTCAAGACACTGTTTAGTTGATTGACATATAATCTGGCCCATGCATGTTTTAATAAGTGTTTTGCATGTACTTAAAGCTCTCTTCACCAACAGGAATGTTTAGAGTCCTGTCAATTAATTCTCAGTGTTGTGAGAAAGTAAAACAGAAAGTGCGACAGAAAATCAGCACATTTGGCAGCATCTGTGGAGACAGGAACTCAGAATTAATATTTTGAGTTCAATGTGGCTCTTCTTTGTAACACTCTTTTTTAACTTACATCTCCAGCATATAGTTTTTATTAAAGCTTCTGGAAATATTTAGTCCGTATCTAACAATCTTGCCATTCCTGCCCTTAGAGTGTTTGATGGGTACAGCGTAGAAGAAGCTTTATTCCGTATCTAACCCCATGCTGAATCTGTCCTAGGAGTGTTTAATGGGAGAGTATGTGTAGAGAGAGGTTTACTTTCAGTTTAAAGGAGTAGAGAGAGCTTTACTTTGTATCTAACCCAATTCTGTACCTGTCTTGGCCTGGTTTACGGGGACAATGTGGAGAGAACTTTACAATGTTTGAAACAGCAATTGGAGATTTACTCTGTATCTAAGCTGGTGCTGTCCCTGCCGTAGGGGTGTTTGATGGGGACAGTGTTAAATAAGTTTTACTTTCCATTTACTTTTCATTTTAAAAGAGAATGGGAATTTGCTTTCAGTTTAAAAGTGTACAGACTTTCACACTAAACGAGTAGAGGGAGCATTACTCTGTATCTGACACTATGATGTACCTGTCTTGGGAGTGTTTGATGGGGACAGTGTAGAGGAAGCTTTACTCTGTATCTAACCCCATTCTGTCCTTGTCCTAGGAGTATTTGATTGGGACAGTATAAAAGAAGCTTTACTCTGTATCTAATTCCGTGCTATCCCTGTCTTGAGAGTGTTATATGGGGTGCAGTGTAGAAGGAGCTTTATTCTGTATCTAACCCTGTGCTGTCCCTGTCCTGGGACTGTTTGCAGGATAGTGCAAGAGGAGTTTGTACTCTGCATCTCATCCCATCGTGGCTCTTAGAGAGGTAGTCTAATTGGAATATATAAGACAGGCAATAAATCCTGGCCAGCATCTCGCAAAAATTTTAAAAAACTGAAGCAGATGGCAAATTAGACACGGAGAGGGATTTTCTCCTTATGGGACAATCTAGAGTCATAAGGGGTGGCAGATTTAAAGCAGAGATGAGGAGAAATTACCTTTCTCGAAAGGTCATGAGTTTGTTAAATTCACTATCCGAGAGTGCGGTGGATGCTGAGAGACTGAACAAATTCAAGGAGGAGATAGACAAATTGTTAATCAGTAATGGGTTGAAGGGTTATGAACAGTGGATAGGAAAATGGAGTTGAGGCTGACATGAGATCCACCATGATCATATTAAATAGCAGAGCAGGATTGAGGGGCTGAATGGCCTACTCTTGCCCCAAGTTCCAATGCATCTTATGCGTGTAATTTGTTCTATACTTCAGAGTGTTGAAACAGAGAACTTTGAAAATGTAAATGTGGAAAGGAAGAATTCTTTAATGATTGTATTAACATGGAAAATTCAACTGTCAATGAGCACAGTAAGCTCCCAGAAGGATAATGTGGTAATTAACTGTATCAGGAGTATTCAGAGTTTTAGCTGTTAAGCCACATTGGACCATCAGTGGATCAACAACTAACTCGTTCAGGCTCAAGGAGCCAAGTGGCCTGCTCTTCCTTCTAATTCATACGTTTTACAGCATGTCTCGTTTTTCCAGCAATATTCAAGTTCTGTAATACCTTGTGACCTTGCATATGCCTGAGACAGAGATATAACAATGACAATATATTGGGATATCAGCAACATGGGTCAATGCAATATTTGGTTAGCTCAATTGGCTGGACAGCTGGTCTCTGATACAGAGTGCTGCCTATGGTATAGGTTCAATCCCTTAACTGTTTGAGAACATCATGAAGGTATTTCTTTCTCAACCTACCCTAATGAGAGAGCAGTGCTCATGGTTCTTCATGATCGTGGCAACTTTACTTTTTTACCCCTTAATCCTGTTTAAGGGTCCCCTTCAGAACATTCAATATATCTTACTCTGTAAAGTATTAACCAATAATTTCCACTGATCTTGTTTCAAACCTCCTGTCATAAATGTTGCAACATTGAGAGAGTGATGGAGACCTCAAGAAACATTTCTTAGATGGCTGCTTGCAGCATTTTCCTGGGATTTTCTCGAAACCTCCACCAGGATTATAGCAGGAGATTAGGACCTGGAAATTCCAGCCAGTCCTGTATCGTCCTCACTGTCTCTTGTTCTTGCATACAGTTGGATGGTGTTCCTTTAATCTCAGAAAGTTAAGGGACGGTTAAACTGATGTCTGTGAAGAATAGAATAGAATAAAATAGAATATCCTTTATTGTCATGTGTACTCAAGTACAGGCATACAGGAGTACAGTGAAAAGTTGTACAATGTTGCCTCTTATGGCATCATCTTAGGTACAAGTACCTAGGTACAAATCTTAGATACAAAAAGAGGAATAAGAAAGAAAAGTGGTTGTGTTACATTGCAGAAATAAAACATAGTTTAAAAGCTAGTGTTTACAGTGGTGATTAAAGAATTTGATTGTGTGGGTAGAGAGAAACTATTTCTTTTGTTAAGGGCTTATAGAATTCGGAACAAGAAGACATGAACTAAAAGTAGGACATTCAAGGGTGAAGTCAGGGTGCATTTCTTTATACAAAGTGGGACGTGGGGACTCTTTACCCCCACAAGAAGCTATTGGGGCTGTTTAGAGGGTGGAGAGGGGGCTCGGTTGAAATTGTCAAACTGATAGATTTTTTTTGTTCGTAACAGAGGATGAGGTATGGACTGCGGTTTGCTTTGTTATCTGTTCCTTCATGTGTTGAAATCTGTAGTGTAATTCCACTGACTCTCTTGGTTCCACAACCATTAATACCCTTTTCCCAACAGAAATTATCCATCTCTGTTCTGAGAGTTGCCAAGTTTCCTTTGGCCCTTGTGTAAAGAAGTATTTCCTGACTTAAGGTGAAGGTCATTGAGCAAGGTCTCACAAAGGGATGGAGGCACAGTTCTGCAGCGATCCAGTAGGATGGTGGAACAGAGCAGAGGGGCTGAATGGCCTCCTCCGCTTGTTTGATGAAATATCTGATATATTAGGTTGTACACAATCTGTTGTGGCAGTTCCTGTGGAGTTTGCTGCGTTAACCATTTCAATCTCCCTTGCAGTGCTCCGGGATGATTTCCGACTGAATCCCACTGATGTGGTTGTCGCTGCGGGTGAGCCAGCTATCATGGAATGCCAGCCACCCCGTGGGCACCCAGAGCCGACCATCTTCTGGAAGAAGGACAAGGTCCCTGTTAACGACCAGGATGAGAGAATCACGGTGTGTATCTCAGAACAGGTTACCTGTGTTCACGCTCTGACTGGGAATTGATCGGAGTGGGTGTGCTGACATATGAGGGAGCTGGGAGGGTCTAGCATTAACACTCCTCACTCTTGGAGTAACGCTATCTCATGTTGGCTTGCAGCAAGAGGGTCCTTGTGAAATGGTTTTGGGCAGTTTAAATTCATCTCCAGCTGACAAAAGCTCAAAGAACAAGGCAATTCTACAATCCAGCTCAATAGACAGCGTGGGTCAGGGAGATGGCAGAATGGCTGGTTGTGTAAATGCACCCAATAATCACACCAAGATACGAGTATATTCTTTTGAGTTTGTGTCTGAAACACACTATCGGAACAATGTAAAAGACACTTACTGTCCCAGGAGTGTCAGATAGGGACAATGTCGAGAGAGCCTTATTCGGTATCCAACCCCGTGCTGCCCCTGTCCTGGGAATGTTTGATGTTGATTTTTGAAGAGCTTCAGTCCCTGCAATCTTCACTTTGTTAAGCAAAATAACTTAAAACAAGGTGCATTTGTTTCATGTTATTCTGAGCTTCTGTTGATGGGTAATCTATCCATACATGGCTCTCCTTCGATAGCTCAGCTGGTAGAGTGGAACATTGTAGTGTGTTGTGGCGGCACGGTGGCTCAGTGGTTAGCACTGTTGCCTCACAGCACCAGGGACCCGGGTTCCGTCCACCCTCGGGCGACTGTCTGTGTGGAGTTTGCACATTCTCCCTGTGTCTGCGTGGGTTTCCTCCGGGTGCTCCAGTTTCCTCCTACAGTCACAAAGATGTGCAGGTTAGGTGGATTGGCCATGCTAAATTGCCTGTAGTGTTCAGGGATGTGTGGATTATAGGGGGATGGGTCTGGGTGGGATGCTCTAAGGGTCGGTGTGGACTTGTTGGGACAAAGGGCCTGTTTCCACACTGTAGGGATTCTATGAACTTCTATATGCTGTTCTTCCTGGGAGTAACATTGCAACCCCTGGAATAACAGCAGGTGCCCATTTGGCCAGTTGAACCCCTGCCAGCCATTTGGACTAATTATTTCCACAGATCCACTTGTTCTTGCCTTATATGCGAGCATGTATTCCCCTTGTCAAGTATTTATCTGATTTGTTTTGAAAGTTGCGATACAGTCTGTTACGATTGTCTTTTATGACAGTACAACCTAGATCACAAACCTCAGCGTCAAAAGGATGGATTCTCAAATCTTGCTGGTTCTTTCATCAGATCTTTAAGCCTGTTTCCACTGGTTACTGATCCTCCTGACGGCAAAATTATAATTCCTGCTTGCATATTTTAACAAAACTTTTCTGAGCATCTTGATTGAATTTTGCTTTTGCTATCATTTCTCGAAGGGGAGAACAATCCCATCCTCAGTATCTCCATGTGACTGAGCCCCTCTTCCTTAGTGTTCTTCTGGTAGAGCTGTTTGATCAGGGGCCTATTGGAGTAAATGAGGAGTAAAAAGGGCAAGAAGTGTAAAGTCGTGGCAGATGAAAGGTATAACCCCCTGATCTTGGTTGTATCTCCCTTTTGTCACTTAGATGCGTGGAGGAAAGTTGATGATTTCAAACACCAAGAGGAGTGATGCTGGTATGTACATCTGTGTGGGGACCAATATGGTGGGCGAGAGGGACAGTGATCCTGCTGAACTGACTGTCTTTGGTAAGTGCTCCTCTCAAAAATAATTCACAACTTTTACTTTAACCAGTTTCATCCTTTATTTAGAGATAGTAGGAACTGCAGATGCTGGAAAATCTGAGATAACAAGGTGTAGAGCTGGATGAACACAGCAGGCCAAGCAGCATCATAGGA